CCTTCTAAGAGGCAGAAACCTCGGCCAGACCCCGGCTTTAGGTGGGTGGCCGTCTGCCTCGACCAATATATGTTACTCTGTTAAACTTGTGGGAAAAGTCAAAATGTTATATTTTGCTACAGGAGGTTGTAATCCCACAGATGTAGTACCATATATGTCTGCTTTCTGCTCGGAGTGTAAATATAATAAAATGTTTTCCTGGAGCAAAACCAATGTATGAATCCAATATTTCCACTGACCATACCACACTGCTCTACTCCTTTTCTTCTCCACTGCTCAAACCACAGCAGTGGTCTGAAATATTGGATTTAGACTTTTTGCCCTTGGAAAACATTTTATCTTTCCAGGCAGATAGAAGTTGTAGGATCAGGAAAATACGTTCCAAGATATAAACCAATGCTGTACAACAAGCAACAATGATATTTTGACTTTTCTCTGATGTCTGTGCACGGAACACAAGCGACCAAATTGTTGCATAACATCTGCAGACTGCAGAAACACAAGGCAAAATTCGCTTGCCGTTCAATCAGATCGCACCTCAACGCAGAATCACCAATCCACAACCCCAGGCAACACATTTCAATACACTGCTATACAATTGCAAAACCTTGGAGGTTAAAATATGGCACTGATTATAAAATATTAGTCTCTAAAAATCTAATTAATATTCACTGTTTTTATCTCCAAAGAGATGCACATCTACTACTGTTGTATTGAACAAATATCAATGGTGATATGTTTAATAATTTGATTCTGGATGTTATTCTGTGTCTACAATCCGCTCTTGATTGATACTGAGATGTTGCTATCCCTTGAACTAACATCTCACTCTGTTACTCCTATGAATGTTCGGTTTTGAGATGCCACCATTGTTGAGATAAGGATTAATGTTTGGTTTCTATTAAATGCTAACCTTGTCAAATGTGACAAGAGCATTCTAATCACATTTAAAATTAAACTATTAAATGCCTTTCAAAAGATTATTGACTAAATGATGCTGTGAAAAGCCAGCCACAAGGAAATATTGCTTTGCTTCACAAAATTACTGTCATAACGCAAATATTATGTCAAGGTAGGACAAAAAAGCAAGCTTAAAAAAATCTGGTTTTAAATGCTAGATTTGTTGTGTGTTGTTAGTAGTGACTTGAAACCAACCCTGGCACCAGTTCACGCCTGCCTGAACCCCTTGAGCGAGTACTTGGCTAAAATCTCGTGATCAAAAACATTGCTCTGCAGCTCAATTCTGTAAAGAAATTTTCTAATAAATATAGCAACTTCAGATAAGCCCCTCCCAATTAGAGTTTAAGCCACCCACACCCATGTTAAGCCCCACCCATTCCAAGTATGGCTATAAATACATATCATTTAGTTGGCTGAACAGATGCAGATGCAATAAGGGTATACTCGCTCATCGCTAACTGTCCACACATTGTTCAGGTTGAGTTGGGGTTAAGCTACACAGTGACACAGAACCTGTCAGGGACACCTTGTAGACCACCACTTATTCTAGAGCTGGACAAGAAACCTGGATTTTGTGCTCAGGTCAAGGCAGTATGCACCAGACCTGCTTTCATAAACGTTGACATCTTCAAGAAAAACATACAACAGCCTGCAGGGTTCGTAACATCATCACTTTCTCAAAAAGGAACTTAAGCATAGTGCAATACCTGCTTTTCTCTTTCTAATCTACCTACATACAAGTACAAACCCCGCCACTGTCCTTTCTGAGACACAAACAAAATCTAGACAACATCTCCTCAAAACAGAGTGGGGAGGAGGGTGGAAATGCAGGAACCTTCTCATTCTTACACACAGAATGTCTCTCTCTTTTTCACACACACACACATACACACACACACACAAACACACACACCTACACACACACACACAGACAAGCACACCACACCGTGCTACAGTTTCAAACACAGAGTTCAGCAACCACTTTACTGATACGGGTTTTAGTGCGACTTTGCCTTTTCTCAGTTCTACTGAGGCCTTTCTTTATGGCAGGTGCATGTCTCCTCAAACACTGTGCCTTTGGCTGTTTGAGTAAGTGCTGTCCTGACAAATTGATCAGCATCTGAAGGGAAGGAAGCAGCAGGATATTCATATAAAAGATGTCCTGTGCTAGAAACAGATACCAGTAGCACTGGGCATAACTCTACACTGGTGTCCAACTGTAGCATTGTGTGCTGTGTTTTAGGAGGCATAATTATAGCTCTTATATTCCACTATTACTCATTGTTATCTGATAAAAAAGCACAATCAAACAGTCTTAAAAACATGAGCAAAGCAACTTAATGGTTTCAGGCTGATGATTGTCAATAAAAAAGACAAAGCCTCTGTCTTGTGGTGGGAAGACACTGCAATGTCCAACTCTTAATTTTCTTTAGATGTATCTATAACATATTAAAAAGTGCAAATAAACATTACATTTTAACAACAGGATCTCTCTTGCTAGTTGTTTCAGAAAATAAGGGAGGCTTATTTGCATATATTATAAGCAGCACCTGCAGCGGAGAGGGGCATTCTGGGAGTTGAAGGGGGATGAGGTCTATGTCTGTCCCAGGGAGGAGGCCTTATACTAGATTTAGTGTAAAGACCCAGGATACAGGGGCAAAGGCTGACATCCATCCCAGGGAAACAGGCCTCATCCTGGGTACACAGTTAGGTTACAGGCTTCTTAGGATCTGGTATGTTGAGGCCTGGTTCTGGTCTGCAGTTCTTCTGGACCAACCAGACATCTGTATCACTCCATGACTTTGACTTGAAAATCTCATGTCAGTGGCCATTAGTGAGACCCATTTAGTGTCATATAGCATAGTTCATTCTTTCTGTGGCTGCAACAATAAGTGAAAGCAGCATCCTTCTTCCATCCAAGCTGTGTCTTCTGGGTATATACACATATATAAATATATCACACTGAATATTTATATATATGTATGACCACGTTATCATTCTACAAAGCAGAATATATTTTTCCTCTGGCAATGTCTTGACAACATTGTTTGCTTTCCTCCAGGACAGTACTGCCTTGACAATCACCTTTCCTCCAGAGTTCACTTAGTTGCCCAGATACCAAGACTGCAACAGAGACAGATACACAATTCGAATTTACTTTGAAATGAGACACATAATACATGTATATAACCTTAGTCTACTTTTTTGACAATATTGGATTAAACATTGGTAATTAAAGGTCCAGTGTGTAGGATTTAGTGGCATTTAGCGCTGTAGGTGCAGATTGCAACTCACTCAGAAACTATTTTTGTGTAAAATCACTGCTTGATACAAAAGATTGTATCTTTTATTCAGATATTAATATCCAGAAACAATTAAAATCCCCAAAGAAGCATGTGTAAATGGTAAAAAATTTTATTATTTCTCAAATATATATATACATATTTGACAATACAAATAAAATGATTGAATGTGCTGTTTTAGAAATAATAAACAGTATTTTTCACTGAGAGATTTGTGTTTAATCCTAAATTATGTTTAACTAATGAAAACCAACATAATTTAATTTAAACTGACTGGATTTCAACCTCTAAGAATTTATCTCACCATGTATTTGGTTGTGACATACTTTAGAAACACACAGAGACAGACAGAGGGGTAGGGAGAGGACTCCTGGCCTAGCAGTGTTATCTGAACTGTTTCTGGAGCAGAGGCACTGCAGTGCAGCACCAACAACACTATCCACACTTCACACAGAAGGTCCAGCTCTCGTCTTTATCAACACCTACCACCTTTACTGCAGACCTACTGTAGTCGTTTACTTCTCTACCCCCAACTACTACACTGATCTCACAGTCTCTGTCTCTGTAAACATTCATCTGCCAACCAGTGGTTTATTGTCAGATAGATTATAGGTTTTTATTTCTATGATTTTTTGAAATTTCAGCCTTGTCAGAGGGCTGCACAATTCATCAAAATATTATCGAAATTGCAATATGACCAAGTGCAATATCCAAATTGCAGGAGCTGCAATTTGATGAAGGTAAAATGTGTCAAAACATAACAGAGATGCCTTGGTCTACAAATCTTGCTCTCCAGAGTTCAAGAATAACTTTAAAAAAAAAGCGTGCAAAAATGAAAAAAAAAAAAAAGGAAAAAAATACGATTTCATTTTTAATAGTCTTTCAGTGAAAATTTAATTTGTGTGCAAAAAATTTTTCCACACTAAATGTGGATCAATTTGCAATCGCAAAAAGTTTGATGTTTTGCCACATTAGCAGCCCTAATTTAAGCCACAGGGCACTGACTTTTTATTGAAAGCTATTAATTATACTAATACTTAAAAGTGTCAGTAGAAAGCGACAGAATACAATTTAATTTGAAGAAAAGAGCTATGTACAAAGTCTATAGTGGATGCATAACATCATATTCAGTCATCCTAATTAAGCACAAAGGGAAAGACAACATTTGTTTTCTTTTATTCGACTTTATTATGCTATGTTAAAATATAGCAACATAATCAAGGCTTTGAACATAAACCATATGTTATTTGTATTATTTAACCAAATGTAAGTCTTGCACCTTCTAATTTGGGACCACTCCCTTGGAAGTCTCAGAGGCAGATATATATCGCAAGCTCACTCTGAGGCATCTTCTGCAACTATTTGCATTGCTAGATACTGTGAAAAAGTGGGAATTGATATGTTTTATTAAAACAGATCCTAAAGGCTGATAACCCTCCAACAATCTGGGTGCTGAATTTCCCCTAAATTTAGCTTGACAATGTCAAATGAACCATACTAACCTGGGCTTGGTAGAGTCCACCTGGGTCTCGAGGGGTGACTCCAACGAAGGAGGTGCGATTGGCAGGGGGGGTCCCAGGGGCCGAGTATGCTGAGGGTGTTTGCGTTAACAACATCATAATATGTCTATCATAATTCCATGTCACTTGTAAAGTTGCATGAGAGAGTACTGTTAACAAAATCTGTCAAAATCTGTTCATATCACAAAGGACCTACCATATATATATTTGTGTGTGTGATTGTGATTGATGCGAGTGAGAAAGTGTGTGTGCATTGATGTGATGATAAAAAACCTAAAAAATGTTAGTATCAATATATTCCATTAAACATTACACAGAAAGTTTATTATTCCAATCGCGCCCATAACCTATATTCGAAAACAGACCAACTCCCACTCGTTCCATTCCTCTCCTCTTAACACCACTCCTCCCTCCTTTTTAATTTTCAGTTCACATCGGCTCGCTTGATGTTTAAATTTTGTTGCTTACCTCGATTATATCTTTGCTTTAGCTAGTAGTTTTTTGCTGCTATATATTCATTCCGTAATCTATATACCCAGGTAAACATCTTATGGATAATATCACAATATTGGATATGGATCGTATGAACCCGACCTTTTTTAACATACCACACACACACACGTCTTTGTGCATTCCTAAAGTTTGTCACAACTACATTAATGGCAGCTCGGACTGCAACCTGGGCTCAGTTTGATTATTAAGATGAATCCATCTCTTTTTTCATTTACCATGAGTTTTGTTTGACTTTCTTTCCATAGTATTCTAAGTGGTCCTAAAGATAAGAAAAAGTAATAAGACTTATTTTCTCTTGTGGAATTTAAAGGACTAGTGTGTAGGA